CGAATTTCAGGTAAAATTTGTAAACGAAATCGATTAAGGATCATGTCAGAAGAAATTAGATCAATAAAATTATTTGAGATCCATTTAACAAAAGTCAAACGACTTGTAAAAATGGAATCCTTAATAAGCCGATTTAGTCGTTCATTAACACCGTGTAAAGTAAAAAGTACGTCAAAATTGTTGAGTTTTTTTAAAATAATCATAAGAATTTCATCAGGTAAATCATATAGTCCAATGCATGAATATTTCATGTTTATTTTCACCTATCGATTGTTTTCAACTTATGAAAAGTCATACATTCATCTTTTGATTTGACCGATGTCGTCAATGAAAAAAAGAATATATTTTTCTCTAACCAAAATTGACGATGAACTGAAAGAATGAATGAATGTTGTCTTTATCTAATATGTCATATGGTAGAAAAAAATGATATTCTTTATTTATTTTATAGCACAAATGAGTATTTGCCGAATTCACTTGACACTTTGTTAAAGTTAAAATTTATTAATTCAAAAATGTAATCATTTAGGAAAATGAACTTCAAAGTTTAAGAATAAACGCTAAAATATAAAATTCATTTGAAATTTCGTATTCAGCTGCAAGAGTATTTTCCCCTTATATATTCATATTTCAACGCTTTATTAACGATTCATATAAATCATATGGATGAATAACTCAAATTTTGCACCAATCGAGATCAATCAATATCGGAAGTTTGGCCGATAGTACTTATTAGAAGTTTTACAAAGAATAAAATATTTAACTCGGTTTCTTCTGGCCGTTTCTTGAAAAAAAAATTCTATTTTCTCATAAATTTGATCTCTTAGAATTATGAATTTCATTAATTATGTTACATGTAAGGAAAACAATTACACGAGTTGGTTTTAATGATAGGGATGCACCAAATCTTGATCAAGATTTGGATTCGGGAGCAAAGCCTTGGTATTTGGACTCGGATTTGAATTTGATGACTAGATTTGGATTTGAACAAAACTCACAAATAGTTTGACATTTTCGTGCAGACACCCTTATTATCCACATTACTGGTTTATTTTAATGAAATCGTGCCAAATAGTTTTTATGTCTATTAATAGAGGTTTCTAAAATTGGAGAAAGAACTAGTGTCGACTTATAGGCTGGGAGTTCAAACGATTTTTAAGCTCAAATTGGTTTAGACGCTAGCTTTATAATTCAACGCTTTCTCTGTTGCAATAAAAGTTTATTTATATACATGAATAAAATTTGTGGACAAAAAAGTGACTTACGTTAGTAATACTAAGCCAAGTTGATATCTTAAAATATAAATAAAAATCTGACTTAGTGCTGTATAATTTTCGTAATTATAAAGAATTTAAGCGTGACCACTGAGAAGAAGTATCTTCGGTGTTGCATACATATTAGAAATCATAACTGTATTCAAATCCTTTCAGGAATATTTTATCGACAAAGAATTTTTTCAAGCAATCGATTTCGAAGTCTTTTTCGACACTTTTTGGTTCTAAAGTCTTAGACAAGAAGATGTATAGCGCTTCTCATTAGATGTGTTATTTTGATATAGAAAAATTTAATCGGTCAAGTCCATTTCTTTTTCTTTTCAGACTGAAATCGACATTTCGATTGGCCACTTGACTTTACACAGATCGGCGCTAGTAGCTTGAATACGTTATATATTTTCAGTAAATTCAGGGAGGGTGTAGGTGTGGGCGTTTAGAGGATGAAGTGTTCTTCACACCCACACCCACACCCTACTGCTTTGGGTGTGGGTGTGGCTGTGTGGGTATGAGTGTGGGGGTGGGTGTAGAAGCTGGATGCTTATTTTCTATGTTGCCACACTCACCCAAACTCACACTCACTTCCATACCCACACACCCACCCACACCCATATCCAGCCGTTATTCTACGAATTCAATAAGCCGGAAATATCGATTGATCATTTATTATTAAGCGATTGAAAAAAGAAGCTCGCTCCTCCCTTGTCTCCTCTATATCAACTATCATACTAACCAGAGCTCGAAAACGAACCGAACCCGAAGCGAATCGAACTTAATCCAGAAAACATCGGTTCGACTCGACCTCTGATACTTACCCTCTGATTGTCAAGTAAGACAAGAATCCTGATTATTTTTTTTTTCAAATCGATATTTATAAGCTTGTTTTTTTTTATCAATATCAATGATTGAAGTACGTGAATTATTATCGGAGCAATCGTTTGATGTCATTTTATCATTAGAAACTGTTCATCCAATATTACATATCGATGATTCACTTTCTTAATAGTTTGAGTGTGGATATGACTCTATTACTACACACACTTAAAACCTCGTCCACATCTTTTCCACCGATACAAACACCCTAAAATTTACTGAGGAAAACTGTGCCAGTGCTTTATGCTTTTTTTCTTATTTTTTTAAATTTTAAGCAAATACAATTGGACGATTTCACGGCTCCATTCAAAAACTCTACGAAACTGGTTGAAAATGTATTTCATCTGGAAAAATGCTATGGAATAAATGAGAATTTTGGAAGCAAATCTTATGGAAGGCATCTGTTGTGTAAGACGGTTAAGGAACTAATAATCCTTTTTGGAAAATTAAAAACCATTCGTTTGTAGCATAAGCAGGATACGACAAATGTCAGCGATACGTTGTAGCAAGCTGCTGACTATATATGCTAAAATTAGAATTGATTTGAGTACGCTTGAATAATTTTTGTTTAGCATAATGGATTATATTTTGAAGAAGAAGGTTTAATGTTGGCTTCCGTATTTATTCGATTGAATCGACGAGAGTTTCGTGTGAAACTTACTTCAGGATGAGTATTTATTTCTATGAAATGTGAAGTTAACATTTTAGTAAAGAAATACATTCTTAGTAGTCGAGAAGACTAAAAGTCATTCGAAGAAATTTTTAAGAACTGAGTTATGGCGTATTAAATGCGAATATTTTTATTTTACTGTACAGAAAACTTGTACAGAGTTCAATCTTGACTTTTGTGATACTATCATACAAGACAAGTAAAACAAAACTGTTTTCACCATTTAATCGACAGAAAAATACTGTAATCAAATTAATAGATTTTTTTCTGATGATTGAATATCATTTGCATGTTCTTCTGTTACTTCATCTTGATTATGGTTCACTTTTCTTTCGTTATCAAAAACTTTTTCATCTGCAATTATGCTACAATCCGATAGTCTATCTGAAGCAATATTAATAGAAGAACTTATATCTTGATTAATATCGAAGTCGGACTTCTGTTCTTCTTCGTTGCAACATTTGTTACTTTCTAGTTCATATTTTAACTGTTGCAAACGCGTGAGTAGGGATGAATATTGAAAGAGACCACAATTCTTATTAAATGGATCCTATATACAAACACAAAATATTTCTTTTCTTTCTTCATTTTTTTACATACTATCATTTGTTGACCATCTTTATCTATATTTTTGTTACATTCATCAATGTAAAAATCGTAGAACTTCAAGAAGTGCTTTATCATAATTTCACTAAAATAAAAAGAATTATTTTCTTCAGTTTTGTAAATTCTAAAATTTACCGTAATTGTTGTGGCACTACATTAGTAGTTTCAAGCATTTCGCAGACAGCAACACGAAGTGTTTCGTGTTTTAGTGTTTCATTATAGGCTTTCGAATCACCTAATCGACGTTCCTATTTTTTTGTTTTACAATAAAAAATTTTTACAAGAGGCATATTGGAATTTTTTTGTCTTCAATTCACTTTTGTAAAACCTGGTGCATTATGGTATGGATTTTCGGACAATAACTATTGAATCGAAAGAATCAAGGATTCCAAAGTTAGAGTTGGAGCCCATGATGGTCCAGTCATAGTACTTACAATATACAAATTCGTAACAATAACATAATAGGTAACCAATCGAGAAAATTTACCCGAGAATGGATACACAAACTTTGCCATTTTGATAAAGATTTGGATTCATACGAACTGTACTATTTGCAGTTGTCATGAAACGACAACGAGGAGGTTGAAATGGACTAGAATGAAAAACAATAATATTTATTTTAATTGTGAATTTCTTTAAATATACTAATTAGGTGGACAACGTATTATGAAATAAAAGAATCCATTTTCATATGGTGTATCAGACGGACCGATTATAAGAGCATGAATCTAGAATGAAAAGATAGAGAACTTTGAAAAAAATCTCGTCAGTCAACAATCACAAGCTTTTTTTTATCTACACAGTTGTCAAAAGTAAAGCTAGGATAATTTAAAGTAATTGTTGTCTTAGACGATATATGTGAGATCTACAGAATAGTTGTTTACCTTTGTGATATTATCAGGATCAGTATCAATAAACATTCCCGGTGGAGACTCTTTCAGCATGGAAGAAATCTCACTAATCAAGAAAATTTTTATGTCAAGTGTTCTATTTAAAATTAAAAGCTTACCGTTGAATTCTTCTTAAACAAATAGTAGTAGGAATGCATTCATCCCAATCAGAAGAATGTAAAGGATCCCATGGATTTCTCATCACCTTTGCCATTTCATCATTTGGAATTCGATTCATACGTGGTTTAGACGATTGAGCATTTTTAACTTGTGTACCTTCATCCGTATTCATTTTGACTTACTGAAGAGAAATACAAAAATTGTTAAATGATACTTATTGCTCAGAAAAGTACGCTAGCCTATAGAATTTCTATTTGTTTATGACTCACATCTTTCGCCATCTATTCTTGATAATGACGTCAGTTTGACTGACGACGAAACTTTTATTACTCAAGGAGAGATTAACAGAAGATAAAATACATTTTAAGCGATAAGACTTGATGATAAGCGTATTGAAAGTAAATTCTGTCGTAAAAATGGCATCATCAAGATGGTTTAAACGTATTAAAAAGTCTTCAAACTACAAGAGAATGTTATTGCTTTTTTTTATAGTTGTTCTCATCGTTGATTTTATTATTTTTAGTTATAATGTGTTTAAAATATTGAATACAACCTAGTTGAGTAATGCTTGTAGATGTATGAGAAAATTCGATCACGTTGAACCTTTCAGACATAAACTTCATCCAATACAAGTCCTCTAATGAAACAACTTCAACGGAAATACTATGATGCACGTTTTAATTTAAAATAAATTTATCAAAAATTTTCTGTTTTCAGCGAAAGAATAGCGATGCTTCATACGTTTTTTTCACACTTGACCTCTAATAATGATTTTTTCTCTTACCAAATAGTATCGAATAAAATGATAAATCAATAAATGAAAGTTTGAGTGGCGGATGTGTATTCATAGAAAGGAATTCAACGCTCAGACCCACGCCCGCCGGTTGAAACAAAAGGTTTCCTGTGCTACTCAATCGAATAACAGTTAGTGATGTTCTCTCAGTAGCTAAAATTACTATAGTTACACTAGTTTGAAATAAAAGTTAAAAAAAGATTTCAGATTAAAACGATAAATAACCGCCAGAAAATATTAAAACATTCGTTGGGCCGAAGAGAACAATATTTGATTATAACTATCATTTTTCTTGCCATTCTTTTATAGTATTAATCAATTTTATCTGTCAAAAATATTGCAGTTTTCATTGAAAGCTGTCTGCAACTTTTTTTTCTTTGATTTTTGTTTGTCTTTCACAAGAAAATGAAAACTTTTTTTAATAAGTGATGCATTTCTCCATTTCAATCAACAACAAAAAGCATTTGATAATGAATTAATATTTCATAGAAGTGACTTAGAATCATTGAATATTCCCTTGTAGAACAAAAAAAACAGCCAACTTTTTGAATGACATTGAATAAAAAAAGGTATTTCTATCAAATCTTATTTCTGAAGTATTAGGAGATAATCTACTTTTCCTATCATAGTCAAATAAAGCCCCAGCTATTTTACATCATTCGATAAAGAATTTCAAAAGCCCCAAAATGGTATACAAAACATAAACAAGCAAAAAAGCTAACTCATCTATTGTAACAATAAATAAAACCAAAAATCGATTCTTTTTTTGCTCGAAATCTAATTGAGGATCAATTTGGGTTCTATCTTCTGATTACAGATGCGGGTGTGGGTGTGGCTCTGGGTCTGCGTGTTACTTAATTTGGAAACAAGTGAAATTCACCACGCCCACATTCACACCCACCAAAACCTACACCCACACCCTTCATCAATTTCATTGTCATTGACATCTTCACCATCAGAATTTTCCGTAATTTGAACGTTGTTTGTTTGTTTTCTTGATACATTATACAATGAAGAAAAATCAGCCAAACAGATATTTTTCATTTCTCCAGGCCTATTTATATACATATCAATTAAGCATTGAACAAATACATCTTTTGAATCAGGCTTCAGTTTCTGAAGAACTTCATCTGATTTGATCATAGAAATTCTGTTTTCGGGTCTATTCGTATTAATAAATACAGTACTTCTGCTGCTGTTTGAAAGTGGCATACTTAAAATATGATAGACAGCTTCTTGTGCTGAGATTTCACTTGAATTCAAAAATTTATTTGCAATAACTCTAAGACGTTCTCTGGCTGTATTATTGCCTTTTTAAGCTCATTCAATGCTTCTCTTAGAAGTTTAGACATTCCATTTTCAGATTTGCTAATGTAGTCAACACAATACATTGCTCATGCATAAGGATCATGAATGAACTGAATGTTCATATTTGCTTTGTGCAATGACATTATCATTGGATTGTATGCATTGATTCTGATTTCATTTGGAACACATTTCAAGAATACTTTCGCTTTTTTTAATTCAGCTCGAATCATTTTGATATATTCTTCTTTATTCATATTTACATATCCAAAAATTCTTCGAAAGTTAATGAATTATCTGTATCCTTTGATATTTTGTCAAGTTTTTGAACTACATTTCGTCCTTTTTTACTTATCTCTTTACGTTCTTTCCAAGCTAACTTCCCATCGTCACTGAATGGCTCTAAAATCATCGTTTTTCTCATTCGAAAATATGGAATACCAGAACGACATTTAATGCCATCCTTTACGTGCTTTTTATAGGTGTATGTGCGTGCTTATGACGTTGCAAACATATAAGGTCTTCAGAAAATTCAACTGGCTTAGCGTTAACGGAAATTAGTTTATCAACAAATTCCGTACATGTTTTTCTTTGTCGTATTTCGGAACATTTTTTAATCACAATAGAGCATGAATATGTGGCGAGCCACGGACTTGGAATTCAACTCTGACATATTTATCTTCTAATTCATAGCCTTGCAATGGACCACAAGGTGCCGCTAATATCTCCCATAAACATTTCAATCTATGCTCAAAATAACGAACGCATGTTACAGGATCATTTCTTATCAAATCACATTTCTTTTCATAGCTCATATTTTCTGCCTCCTCTAATGTTATTACTTTATTTTCCAATACTTGAATTAATATTACAATTAGTTCTGACCACTTTGTCTCTGCTGCTGATAATGTTGGAAAAACAGTTGCACATCCTAATTGCCTGATGATTGCCATAACCTCCTTTTTTTTAGTTCCCAGAATGCTGGTGAAGATCGATCACATCTCAAGAATGTAAAAGCATCATCATTATGAATCAATCCATTGACATAATCTCGATTGAGCATTTGTGCAACAGTTATGTCTTTTGTATTGTTTGTCTTCCTCAAATTTATTGAAATAGTATCGGAGAACTTCCTTGTTTGTAGTTTCTTATATGTGAAAAATAGTTTCGATATTCTACCACATCTTCGATCAAACATTCTTAATTCTGACTTGGCAATCTTAGCATAAGTCAATTTAACATTTGCTTTGATTTTTCTTTGCTTGCCACAATACATTTTCGGAAATGTTAATTCATCGACTTTTAAATCCATTAAAATCGATATCGGCCTGTTATTCTCTCCTGGAGCAAATTTGATACCAATATTATTCTGATCACCAATCTCGTCATGTAATAATGTTTCAGTAGCACTTGGATTGACTGGTTTATCGTCACATTCATTCCATTTGTCCTCGTTATCAAAATCTTTGCTGATGCTTTCATTTTCATCGAATTTCTTATCTTCATCATCGATGATAAAATTCTCTCTCTCATTAGAGTATTCTTTCAACCAATCATGAGATATCACAATACCTTCATCCTTATACAGTTCTTGCTCAACCAAATATTTTACAGCAGTATGCACAACTTTTGGTCGAATAGTTTCATACATAAAGGCATTCTTATTTTTTATTTGTCTCATGAGTTTCAATTGAATCGTATGAGTATCACTGAAACTTCTAGGTAATACTGAAACATTCGCATCAACATTCATGGTAACATTTACAAAGTTGCCCTTGAGACCGAATTGTTTACACGAACCTAAACTTCGAATAGCCATAAAAGGAATTCTTGGTGATATTAATCTTTCTTCTAGTTCAGTCAAGATTTTCAAACAATCAGGTACTTCATAGAATCCTAAACCATTAGATAGACCGAGATTAGGTACCTTATTCGACATGATGTCATTTCTACAAGTGGCACATAATTTAATGATAGCCTGTTTTAGATAACAAACTGTATCGATAAATTCTGCATTTAACCCTTTGTTTGTTAACATCTCAACTGTATATTCTCTGATTGAATACTCAAACCATAAACCACTGCAACAACTACAAATATGAGTAGGTCCTTCTTTTATTTTTGATTCATAATTTGATCTCATGCCATCAAAATTACTTTTGTATTTATCTCTATTATTGTGTATTCTTAATGCATTTCTTCTTCTTTCTTCTTCTTTGAATTCATCATTTTGTCGCGCAATTTTTAGAGCTTCGGCTCTTCTTCTATTATCTTCTGTTTTGAATTCAACGTCTTGTCGTTCAATTTTGAGAGCTTCGGCTCTTCTTTTATTATCCTCTGTTTTGAATTCATCATCTTGTTGCTCAATTTTTAGAGCTTCGGCTTTTCTTCTATTATCTTCTGTTTTGAATTCAACATCTTGTCGTTCAATTTTATGAGAGTTTGCTCGTCTTCTGTTGTCTAACAAGCGAAAATCATCACCAGTTCTTCTTTCTCTCATTCTTCTAGCCACCTCGGCATTTCTTTGAGATGTAGATCTTCGTTTTAGTTTCGACATTCTTTACAATCAGTTCAAAAAAGATACTTAGATAAGACTAAGTTTTTTTCGAATTATGAATAATGAAATCCGATGATAATCCCAATTTCTTATGCAAATTAAACACGTAATTTATGTGTGTTAAGCGCCGCCTGCACTTAGTGAGAGTTGTCTATATCTCTGAACTTGTTGAGATACAAAACCAAAAAGTTTTTTTCGAGAAAAGTCTTCGTTACAACTTGGTGAAGATGCACTCGATTCTAAGCAAGAAACTTTGAGATGAGAAAATCAAAATCTTTGTAGTCTTTATTGAACAAAAATTAGATTTTTATTTGTTATTTAATCGTTTATATTGATTTTAATAGTTTCAAAAAATTTTAATAATAATTAAAATCTATAAAGGAAGAATGAATGAAAGAAATTGAAGATAAACTAAATAGAATGCGAGACGAGTTCTTGTGCAAAATGTACAGCGACGCAATTCGAATTCATTTAATTAATTATACGAAAAAAATCTTTTGTTTATTTATAGTAAAAGATCAATTGTATTTAACAAATTTCTTTCCTTGAATGACAAATGTCTATGATAAATATCGTAATGATGTTGTTGATATTAATCATCAAATGACATATATAAACGATTTTCATTTAGTTTTCTTAAGTGCTTCCCGAAACAGGTCCGTGCTAAAATAAGATATTGTGTAATTTATAATTAAAATTAACTGAAATAAGATTAACTCCTACATTGTGGATCTGAAGAAATCAGTTGAAACTTGATTTTGTTCAGTTGCTTGTTTTTTCTTCGGGATTTTCGGTAGTTTTGAGATACTATTCACAGCTCTGTCAATAATATGAACATTCACTGCTTCAATACCACGAATAGCTAGAAAACAGTGAAGCATCGTTATTTTTGCTACAGTTAACGTAAAACAACTTACTTCGAATAATATCAAACTTGCATAAGTCTGACATGAAGAATCTCTTATCACGGATATCACCGATAATAGACGCTTCTCGGACGAATAAATCGTGATAATCTGGTTTATCTCGTCTAGGTAATATATAAAACAAAATAAAATAAAATATAAACTTAGTTGGTATTAATATACCTTTTGATAAACGCATACTCTCTAAAAAAAATGATACGATTGCTGAACTATAAAAGGTTCAGAGAAGGTGAAAGAACCTTTAAAGGTTCTGGCTTCGGTACAAAATGCAGAACCCTTCTTTTTTGGTTCTGTCAACGAATTCTAAAACCTTTTAAGGTTCTGCGTTTTTGTACGAAACTATTTTTAGCTCTGGGTGTCTCTGACAGAACTTAAAAAATGGTTCTGAATTTTGTACCGAAAAAGGTTCAGTACGAATCTTTTTTTTTAGAGAGTAGTGCTTTGTTCTATTGACTGTGACCACTGTACCTTTAATTTCTTTCTCTGAAAGTAGAAAGATGTTTCTTTTTAATTCTTGAGTTTCGAAAATTTATTACCGAGAATAATTGGTCGATCATCACGACGAATACTTGATTTTTTACCACCACGAATAATTGATCTTGTACCACCACGCATACTTGAGTTTGTATTACCACGAATGCGTGATTGATTATCACCACGAATATCTGGTTCACAAACCATTGATTCTGTATTTGCGTCTTCCATTGATTTTGATAAGATTTTTTTTTCAAATCCGAAATATTGCTAGATGAGATTGAAAGATATATTTTAATAAATGCTGCTTTTCTTTATTGTTGTAATAAACCTGAACGATTTTATTTAATCAAAAATGTTTTTATTAGGTGAAGTTTGTATTTATACATAAAGAGAATTGAGAAGATAAGATATTAAATTGCTAATGACCAATTTCAAATCTTGAGTGTGAGCTTGATTCTGTCTTTGAGCAAAATCTGATTACAAGAAATTATTTTTCTGATTGAATGAAACAATGATTAATTAGAAATTCTGATATTTATGTTTCTTTTCGATGTTTATCAATGGATTAAAAGATGACAACTTTTTTACGAAGAGAATAAAGTGGTTCAAATTTATCGTAAAACTGGACGACATCAACAAAAAACTTTTTTTTACAACATTCAAAAACACAGAAAGAAAAATTGCCCTAGAAACTACGAAATGAAGAAGAAAAACAAACAAACATGGATACACATTGTATGTTTTAATCGATTTCATTACTCAATAATGCTGCAGCTTGATCAGCTACCTCTGATATCGTAGTCGTTGAAGGTGTCGATAGCTTTTGATCATCAGTCGATTGTTTAGCTAATTCTTCGCGTAGTCAATCGAGATCTTTTTCTCGTATTTGAATAAATAAAATACCGTTCACAACATTCAACATTTCTAACACACTTTGGAAACTTGGTTGTTGAATCTAAAACAATGATGTAACTCAATACTATACAATACAACTTACAAAAACTTTCAATACTTACAGTTAAACTTGGTATGACAAGTAATTGACCATTAACAACATTATTAATTCGCTTTTGTAAAACAACAGCTTGTTCAGTTAAATGTTTTAGTATTTGGGCACTCTCACGTGTACGTTCATGTTCATCGCCAAGCTAAGGAAAAAAAGAAACGAGAATTAATAATACGAAATCAATTTCAATAAAATTTACTTGTAATTTATAAATTTGATAAGCTTCACGTTCACTGTTCAATGCTGATCTAAAATCTCCACGATATGATTGAATACGTGCACAAAGATGATGAGAGAGAGCCACTTTAAGACTTCTTGTTCCATAGAAGCTAAAACACATAAGCGATTTTGTTTATTGAAAATCTTCATCAACATCAGCATTTCTGAACACTGGAAAACGTCTTTTTCCTATGGTTCGTAATCAATAATGAATTGTACAATACCAAGAACTTACGTTTTATTTAATTCAAGTGATTTTCCATGAACTTCAGTGCATTTTCATAATCACCATATGATAGTAGAATCAATCCAAGATTGCTCTATTAAAATTATTCACTCATATGTATATATATATATACAATTATTCTAAAATATTTTCTTATCTTACGTCAATAAGACTAATTTGTGGATGATTTTCACCACAACATGTTAATATAATATAACGAGCACGACAAAGTAATTTCGATGCATTCATTGAAAGGCCATTTGCAAATGAATATAAAGCGATATGTATCTAATCGGAATAAAACAATATTTTTTTTTCAATATTTTTGCGTTTTCTCACATATTCTGTTGCTGGTTGTGGATGATCAATGCCTAAAACTCGTTCGGCCATCATAACGGCTTTACGTTGTGTAATAAGTGCTTCTTGGTAATTTCCCATAATATAATTTAACCGTGCGAGTAATCTTAAACACATACATATTTCAGGATGCATTGGTCCATAGACTTTATTTAATAACTTATGTGCTTCAGATATTAATTCAAAACCTTCACGAAGTAAACCTTTTTGAAGTTTTTGTTGTCCGCTTGTAAAAAATTGATAAGCATCCGTCGGCTAAAATAATTATGAAAATCACGTTTATTCATATAGATTTCATTTTGTTTATACTTTTGGTGGAACTTGTTTTGTGGAACTCACATATATTTTCGAAGAAAATGGTGAGTGTAAGTTTATAAGCGAGATTTTTGCGGCGGGGGGGGGGGGGGGGGGGG